TCCAACGCCGGACAATCATGCAAATCGGGGGAAAAAAAAAAAAAAAAAAAAAAAATTAAAAATGTTGTTACTGTAAGCATATACTTTAAGATTTTCAAAAACAATTCACATTGAAAGAATCCTCATTTTCTATCTACTCTGGAATGTTTTGTAGATTGCATTACGTTGCGTAAGCGTTAGAGTAATGCATATCCTAAGATCATACTCACAGAAAAAGATTTCCTTCGTTTTTAAATTCATTTGAATGTTCCATATTATTTATATCATTCTGCCCGATATGTCACGAAAGAGTCACGTCTAACTTGTTTTGCATACTGCAATTTCTACAGATAACTTTTTCTAGAAAATCCACCTTTTATAAAACAAAGAAAATGGAAGGGAAAACACACTCCAAATGATGCTTCAAATGATGACAATAAATTTGCAGGATACATTTCCATGCATCTTTGTTGAGAATGTGCAAATTAGGAAGTCTAGAGTTGCTTGTTGAAATAATTTTTTAAAATATTACTATTGTTAATATCACCAGTAAATGTAATTTGTGGTTGCACTTGCAATACTGTTTTTATGGACATTTTGCAAAAATTAATTATGTGTCTTCCTTAAGAGCATGGAATTTCATAGAATTGATACCTTAACTGTAAGAAGTGTAATGTATTGAAATGAATGATGCAAAGAAAAACAATTATTTACAAGTGTTTTACTCATATGTCTCTCCTGTAAAATGACCATTCTGCAAGATGACCTGTAAAATGACATGTATTGCCATTTAAGTGCAATGACAAGTAATTTAGAAATAAATTGAAGTGCTATTTAATTTATAATGTAGTCAGTGAATAAAACAATTTTGTAATTAATTAGATAGTATTTTTAACTCTGATCGTAATTAATCATTGGAATATTGTTTTACTTTGCAGTGCAGAGAAAACAAATGCGTACTGATACAGTCAAAGTACAAACACCGCAAGGAAATGGTACATCAATGTGCTATGTGTGCCGCCTTCAGTCAAGGCCAGGAACACTCTGCCTTGAAAAGTGTGTAGAGAAAGGAGTTCCTCCCGGTCCTCTCTTGGGAAAACTGAAGTCTGGTGAAGATATTGTGTTAAAGGATGGTACAGTTGTCCATTCTGCAGATGTTCGCCTGCCAGATGATCCAGGACCAGTATTTATAGGTTTGTTTTATTTATTTAATAGAATTTTAGAACTGGCTCACCTGCCCAGTACAGTGAATAGAGCTTAGTAATTTGATAATTACAATTGTGAGTACATTTGTACTGAATACATTTTATAACAGAAGTCAACTAGAGACGCTAAACAACACATACTTTCTCGCTCGTATTTTCACGTAATATTACGCAATAATTATTCAAATTTCCTGAAAATTTTACATGACCTTATTTCAAAATCTATATTCAGACTTCATTAAGGGAAAATATCTCTATCTTTAATATTTTAATTTTAGGAACATTCCCAAAAAATTTTAAACCTTTCCAATTTTTGAAAAATTAGGATTTTTAACAAACAATTTACCTCCTAAACACCATTCTTTTCTCCTTCACACTATCCAACAACAAAATTTAATCAAAAACAATGGAGCAGTTTTTTGAAAATTATAAAAATGTCCGTCTTGCTTCATGTAAAGTATCCTCCAAAATTAAAATATTGGTTTCAAGTTCAAGGAACTGGACATTAACCAGACTGATAGGAGAATATCAAGTTTTCGAGAAACTCTGCTGAAAGGTTTAGCCATTAGCATTGTTTACAGATGGACGGACATTTTGCTATCATTCGATTTTCAGCTATCAAGGACCCATGAAAGATGGGTTCTGGCTACACCACATGTAGAAGATTTTTTTCTAAATTTAACAACTGGATTTATCCACATTTTCGTTACCAGAGTTCTGTAATAATCTCTTCTGTAAATAGTTTTTCTGTCTAAAATTCACAATTTTTTCATGCAGCATTATATAACTTTCTTTCCTCTCCTTAGTGAGAAAGTTAAAAATGGATATAAAATAGAAAAAGTAGTTGATGATATCAAATAGATCCATAATAAATTCACACTCATTATTAGTGAAATATGTTCAATTATATCCACAATAACGCTATTTAATAATCTGTAAAAAGCAGATCAAGTTTGTAGATCAGTCTGTAGACAGAAATTTATTAACACTTCTAGCAATACATGGAACAGAAGAAGAATACAAAATATTCATTTCTTTTGTTGAATTAGCTTTTGCCATTATCATGCCATCCAATTCCTTCTCCAAAGTTGCTTCTCAGGAGGCAAAAATTCCGGATGTACTTTTGGAGATGTACATTAGAATGACAACATCATCTATTTAATCATGTATGTGAAAATAAGTAATTCTTATTATATATCGTATCTAGAAGCAATATTCAAGAAATGCTTTGCAGATGAACTACCACAGATATGAACAAAATAATGTTCCTTTTCTTGCTAATAATGTCCTGCGATATCTGAATTTACTGAAATTACTTCCCCACCTTGTGTAGTCATATTTTGTGGGTTCATGCTACCGCAAAAGCGATTGACTGCAAAGCATTGGTCCATCTATCTTTCTGTCCGTGGGTGTGGGCACTTGCATGTATATGCGCCCTTTGTGAATATTGTCTTTCTGTGGACAATACTAGCTGCTGAACTATTTAACTGTTTTCTCCAAAATTCTTATTCTGTGATCGATCTGAAAGAATCCAAGGCCCTGCGTGTTTGAAACTGATATTTGGATTTGTGGGGTACTTGACCTGCATCCTCAACATCATTTTCTCAAAATGAAATTGAAATTATTTGATGAAACATTGTTCTTAAATTGCATAATGAGCTCTTGAAGGAAGGTTGCTGGTCTCATTGTTATTGAAATCCCTGATTTTTGTGAAAATTCTAAACTTTTTTTGTGTCTTCCTACAACTACAATATTGAAGATTGGTATTTTCCTAAATGAAATCTTTTGTACAAAGACTGATTGTGAAATAATGACATGTATAATTTTTTTCAAAATATGAGTTGTTTTCTCATAACTTTATATGATATACAGGCAGTTATTATAGAATTACTTTCAAGATTTCTGCATCGGGGCGGTCAGTGCTGAGGTTAATCTATTAACCTGAGTGCTGACCATTCCAGTGCCGACCAGCCTGGAGAAAGGCTATGAAAAGATGGTCGAAATGTTGGCATCATAGCCTCTGACCCAGCATCACTACGACAGCCAAGAGAACTCGCAACCCTTCCACAAGTTTATTGACAAACTCTCTTGCCCATATCCTATTGTATGGGTTTGTTGTGTATTAATTTGTGCAAGTTTTTTGTTCATGATTTAACATTTTGTTTTTCAATTGGCTTTGGAGCCAGAATTGACCACTTTGCAATACTTTGAATAGTCATTTGCAACTTGCACATCTACTGAGACTAGATTTTTATTTAGAACTTCCACTTTTACTATTTCTTTAGATTTAATTGCTTTGGCTTTGAATTTTTGACTCTGACTATTTTTTGGGCATATTTGTCCTCTCAAATAGACTGCGGAGTTTGCACTCTTCCTCACTTGAGTGCACTAAGATTTTGTCTTTTCATAAGTGAGCAAGAGAAAAATTTGTCCATACTTGAGATAAAAATTTGATTGTTTTTATAGGAGGGAAGCCTATTAACCTATGCAACGAGATAGGGAAGGCCATTCGATGCTCGAGTTATGCAAATGGTTGCATGGTTGTTCAGATTGATTACTAAGAACTTGAAAATTACACAACGTGTGTTATCCTATTGACTCTATCAAAGGAGCAATTATCGAGGGATTACTGTTTCTATACAATTAGACTATTCTGAGCATCAAAAAGGAAATTAATTTTAATTTTATCAATGATATTTAATATATTATTTACCATATGAACTGTATAATTCTAAACAAACTGCAGCAAGTATATCAGTTTCTGGGTCAATGACCCCCATATGTAGCATATTTTTTGTCCAGTTTCCCTGATTCCTTGAGCAAGTGCTGAGGTGGCTCCTCGTTTTGCTTCTGAACATAAATGTAACCTGTGCATGTGTGCTACAGTTCAGTGGGAAATAAAGTTACTCAAATTATCGTTCACAATATTGTCATAGAATATTCCTTTATGAAGGACAAGAACCCAAATTTCGAACCGATTTGCCTTTGAAAATAGATTTTATTTCATGGAAGCGAATATTTCGTTAACAATTTCTGACAAAAACACTAATTTCTGTCTGTATTCAAAATTTAACTTGTGTACGGTTTAGGGTAGGGATCCCAGAATTAAGTAAACGTGCACAGAATACACTTTTCCCAGTAGCATGTCACACACAGTTTTTAACTGTTTTTGACATTAAAAAAAAGGCCTTCATTCGAATGCTACCTCCTTGCACAGCTGTGCGGTTTGTTGTCTGACTTGTATGAAGCAAACAGCTCTTTTCCTCGTGTTGACTCGACTCTTGCCTATTGTACCTGCCAAAGGTAAAGGAGAGGTATTGTATCCTGAGAACAACAGCAAATCTTTGAAGCACATTATGTAATGAAGGATATACTGAGGCCTAAACAGTTGTTGAATGTGCATCAGGAGAGCAAATATAATAAAGCTGTGCTCTGACCTTCAACTTAGATCAATTAAGTGTTTCTTGTTTTGATTTTAATTGCCTTGTTTAGAATTAAATGAAATGTATTTGTTGAATTTTGATATGTGTGTGTATTTTATGTGTATAGGTGTCCTCGATCTGTCCACACATTTACAGATGTGACAAAATTCTTTTCAACAATCTACTTTATTTTGCAGTTGTGGAATGTCCTTCTGTGCAGTACATAGAAAATCTGGTTAATAATCAATTGATTTCACAATACCAGAGCTCTGCGGTCAAAGAGGAAGACATGGCAAGTCTTATTGTCCATTTTACTCCTCAGCATGTTATGACTGATCCTCGGTAAGTTGCCTATTTTGCTGTTGTCCGATAATAATTACTACATTTTATGTGTCATCTCAAAGGAAGAGATTGGAATTTTGGATGGTATCTTCAGGATAAAAAACATGAAATTCATAGATTTGTTCTTTGAGATCATTGATTTTTTTAAATGTTTTGGTAACAATGATTTTTTGTGGTTATAATATTTTAACCTCGGTTTAGTGATAATTTCTTTTTATTTCAGCTATAAAAATTGGATGGACAAATTTTCAATTAGTACCCAACATTTGATTTTAAATGAAGAAAACAGCTGTATGGGAAGTGTAGCTGTTCATAGGGTTCAGTACAAGCTGAATTTGTTACATCCACACCTATTTCCTTTGTTAGGAGACAAGAGCATTAAATTAGCCGAAAACATGCTTGATAGTAATCTCTCAAATGATAAAATGAATGGAGATGAAGATATTGACAGATCTACCTATGGTAGTGACTCAGTGAGCTGTTTTAGAGGAAAGACATTTGATTTGGTGCACCTGCGACCTAAAAAGATGTGGGACAGGTATTGAAATATTTTTTTGTAATAAAACAGTAGTTAAACAGTTCAATATCCCTTGTATGTCACAACACTCTTGGTTTCTCTCTTGTATATCCTTGTGGTGTTTCCCTCTATTGGGATTATTTCATTGTGAGTAGAGCTGAGATTTTTCTGTAATTACATATTTTGTTGCTGGCAATAAGAAGCTGAGGCAATAAGAATATATCTAAATTTGTATGTAGGGGTCATTTGAATAGAATTTATTTTACACGTTTTCAAATATTTGTTTGCATTTCATGAATTCACAACCACTCAACACAAAAGTACATGTTTCAGCATTTTTGCATTTGTGGGTATTTAAAAATAAGAATGTATTTTTAATATTTTTTGAAGAGCCAATATTGTTGCTGTTTGTGCAGCAACTGTGGCTGGGAGGTTCTAGAGTTTGAGTCCCAATGGTAGCAGAATTTTTGACACTAGGTATATAGCTAGATCAATTTTTTTCTAGAGAATTCTAGTGAACAGGTGCTCTGATCGGTAGTTTCCATGGTTTCTCTGATCGATACCAGATGAATAGCAAGGCGGTACCCTAGCAAATGGGCCACAGACTGTACACAATCTTTTCTTTCCCTTGTTCTATCCTTTCCCTTTACTCACATGCACACGCATATGTGCTCATTCGTGTGCATGCACACACACATATTAACATGAACTAAATTACCACACATGTCAGGAGGCCAGTTGGGAGCTTTGTGCTTGTCCTGACTGAGGCAGTGCCCCTACTGGAGGAGGTGCAGTAAAACTTTGCTTATAAGTTTTTCAGGGGACTGAAGGGGAAAAAATGTGTAAGTGAGAAAAACGCATAACTGAAATTGATTATTACGAGCAGAATAAAAACTCAATATTTTTACACTATTGTTTTATCATTTTTCCCAGTTCTTTGGCAGTATCTACCTTTTTATTGCCATTCTTCGTAAAAACATTTAAAATTTCTACACTACAATTTTCATTAGCGGGAAGACGCGTCAGGCTGAGTGACAGGTCGCTCCGTGGGAGCGATGTGGAGCGTGCGGACTTGAGTAACATATGAGTTCCGGACTGGGATCATTTGATTTAGTGATTCCGGGCACGTCAACTACTAAGGGACATTTGTCCCCTAAGTGTAGTACATGATTTTGGTCATGAGGTGGTTGTGGTCTTCCCCCATTGTATGGCAAGATCCGGCGCCAAACTACTGTCGGCTAGCAGGGTTTTACCAAACCAGGTATCCAGTGCACCAGTGGTGCACCACCCCAGTAAGGATGCATGTTAGGTGGTGTAGGTGCATGTAAGTGTAAGGGGTGAGGATAAGAGAAGGAAGAAGTAGGAAAGATCATGAGTGGACCGTGGCATGTTTTTAAATTACTGCTCAGGGTTTTGCCTGTTGTTGATCGGAGAAACCATGGAAAACTTCCAAGCAGAGCATTCGGTCACTAGAATTCTCTTCCAGACAGGAGACTGAACTTGACCTAGCTGACAAGCTAGTGTTGAAAATCCTGCCATGATAGGGTCTTGAAGCTAGGACCTCCCAGTCAGAGGGACTGCAGTGACATCAGTTTAAGCCCTGAGCCATCTCTCCATGTGGAATCATTTGAACATTATAAGTTCTTAACGGGACCTTTATAATGAACATGCAAGCGTTAAAAATGTATAACTGTAAAAAAAGCATGGGAATTATACAAATTTATCTGGGACTTACGTAAAAATTTGAAAAACATATAAGTGAGAAACGTATAAACAGTGTCACTGTATACGCAAGCCGACATGTAGGTTGGCACCAGATCTCACCGTTCAGCAAGGGTGAACATCACCTCCTGGGATAATAACATTCACTACACTAATGGGACTAATGGCTGTAATATATAATAGTTGACGTATCTGGAAACATTAATCAATTAATTTAATAAAAAGTCTCTCATTCAGTAAATAGTATGACAGAAAAAAAACATTATTTCATGAAGAACACTGCTGTGCAGTATCTTGTGGCTGGAGTCCTGACCTTGCTCCTGATAATCGTTTACACAAGCTAGGTAGCAGGGTTGAATACAACCACTATTTGGAGGAGAATTTTCTTGGTTTCAGAACCCTAACAAATAGGTCGCAGACTGTACACAATCTTTTCCTTCCTCATCCTTTTCTCCTTTCACCTTAACACGCACACACACTTGCTTGCACAAGACTACTCCACATGAAGGAAGGCCTGCCAGGAGCTTTGTCCTGGGGGTCCTGCTAGGGCGGTGCCCTCCTGGGAGAGATGCTTGGAAGCAGAAACTCACAAGTCAATTTGTAAGTTGGGACCAGAAATTACATTCCAGCCGGGGAGGAACACATACACCTCAGGGACATAACATGCTCTACACTTATTGGTCTTCTTGTTGCAGTAGTTGATGCACTTGGAATCAATACGCAGTTTTGCAAAATATGTGATCAATCGGAGTTCAATTGGTGTTATACCGAAAATATCCAAGCCAGGAAAGTTAAAATAAAGCTTGAAAAACGTCTTTAAAAGTTTGCGAAATGTAAAATTTTGAGCAGCATGGGAAGCATACTGAAGAGAGATCTGTGTGGGATATTTATTTACAGCTATTTGAACTTGGTTTTCCATAATTTAACCAATAATATATCACACATCACTTTCTGCAATTTAAGAATATACAGTTGAGGAATGCAGTATGTCGTTTGGCTTTTCTGCATGCAGAGATCAGCACAGTGTAAACTTTGCTTGTACATGGCAATCAAAGAAATGGTTTTCAGCTATCACAGTATTCATTTGTGGTTGCGTTGCTACTGCTTACACATTCAAATTGTATGTATGGTTACACGAAGCTAGTCTAAGATATTCTATATATGAGATTTTCCACAAGGATTAATGCATTTTCAGCAAGGAGTTCATTAATGAAACATATGAAGCAGAAGGATTTTTAGAAACATTGAATAAATTGAAACAAGACATTGAGAAAATGGAGCAAAACATTACTTCACAAGAGTCTGACCCTCAAATCAGTTTCCTCGGAACTGGTTCATGTATTCCAAATAAGACAAGAAATACAAGTGGAATTCTTTTGCACATTAGGTAAGTGTATTATTAGGGGGAAAAATTATATAATATTGTAACATAATAGTCCAACCTTCTTACAACTGCGATTTCTTGTGCACCCCTTCTCGGACTTGCAAAATACTCGTATTTGCAAGTCAGTGGTATTTTGGTATTAAAGACCCACTAAACGTGCATTTTGATTACACAAGATGGAAGAAGAAGTAATATACTACATACAGGAGTACATCCTCTTTTTCAGTGTCAGGAATCTACACTATGAATTTTACTTTCCCATGTACATACGTATATGGGAAAGTTATGTAATGCTGCAGAAAATAGATTTCGAGATTTCAATGGAAATGCATGTTTTAGAGTCCTCTGATACTGAAAAAGTGATTCTTTTCAAAATGTCTGTCTGCCTGCTCGTCCGCCCGCATATTGCATGCACTATTTGCAGTTTTTAAACAATGACATAAACAAGACTTTTGCAAGCACGGCTCCAATTTTTTTCTTGAAACTTTTGGTAGTAATAGTGCTAAATGCACTCGATAAGTTAACATAAACACTATATAGCTGTATTCTTTTGTTTTTTTTATAAAATTACCAAACTATTTTTTTTGTATCACGTCATTAATATATACGTTAACAACAATTTGTTCACATTATTGTATTTTTTAGTATATGTGCTTAAAATAATGTTACTTTAAGTTTTTCTAAAACTACAGTTTTCTGTGAAAACGAGCTCAAATTCTTGGTCTTTCAGAAATACTCAAACCCAATTTTCTCAAAAAGGGCACCATATTTTTTCTTCAAACTTTTCTAACCAATAGTGCTATTTGGACTGGATTTAAAGTGACATATAATTCATTTTTCTGTATTCTTTTGTTTTTAAAAAAAATTACACAAATGTAATTGTTTTGAAATATATCTTACGCAGTTAATATGCACATTTCCAGTGATTTGTTAACACTATTGCATTTGTCACTGGAAGTGCTTGAAATTATTTCATATAAAGTTTTTCGAAAACTCAACAGTTTTCTGTGAAAAAGAGGTTCAAATTTTGAATTTATAGTAGTGCTTAAACGCAATTTTCTTAAAAATGCTTCAAACTTTTTCAAAGAAAATTGCCTTCTTAAATGATGTTCTACTGTTCTTTAATGTTCTTGAAATAATATTTCAGTTCTACTTTTAGGAAAACGAATAATTAAGATTAAAAAAAAACAACTTTGGGGGCATTAGATGGCATTTGGCAAGAGCATGTGGCAAATCCGAATAGCTAGCCAAGATCAAAGGAAGTAGAAAACTAATATGGAAAAATCTGTGCCTTTCTGTAGCATCGTTAGTTTCTGTTGAAAAATAGCTGTTTTCACTGCAGCATTACATAACTTTCTGTACACTATGTATGCAGTATGTGAGAATAAACGTCATCCACAATTTTATTTAGAACAGCTTCTGTCAAGAGGACATAATGAATGAACTACAGCGGCCAAAGCTACACTTGTGTTCACAATTGGCTTCTTCAACTACTATCTTGCAATTTCTTTTTTCTATGACTTTTAATGCTTGATATTTGCAAAGAGTTCTGTATGGTAAGAAAAAGATCATTAACTTAGAAAGAAAATAATTACCAAGGCAGGTAAATACACTAAATACAGACAGGTTTCTTATTAGCTTCTTCCATTTGTTGTATCTTGCAGCGTGATACTTAATTCAATTCATGGTTCATATAATGCTTCTGGTTGTTATTTTGAAGTAATTCACTTGGACCTAAGGGGTTCCAAATTATTTCATGCTTATATCTCAAACGTGTTTTCATAAGGGACATAATGTTTTACACACGTATCCTTCATTTTAGTAAATTGTCTAAAATCAGTCTTAATTTTATAGTGTTTCATTTTCTTTTACTTTTTCTTCTAAATTTAATTTTATTTCTGTAATTGTGTTTATCAAATTATTTTATTTTTGTGTATTTCAGTGAAACTGATAGCATTTTATTAGATTGTGGAGAAGGAACTTATGGACAACTTGTGAGACTGTTTGGTCCGGAGAAAGCAGATAATGTATTATTGGGAATAAAAGCAATTTTTGTTTCTCATCTTCATGCTGACCATCATCTTGGACTTATTGGTCTTTTAAAAGCACGAAGGAAGGTTATAGACAAACAGCCGAAGACCAACTACATCAAACCCGTGTTTTTAATAGCACCTCAGCAAATAATGTCTTGGTTGAGTCTTTATCATTGGAATTTTGAACCAATTACTCAGGAGATTTTGCTAGTCCCAAATGCTCATTTGGTAAGTTTCCATAATTACTAATTTAATATTTTAGTATAGCCTGTTGATGGAGAAGATTTCAGGAATGAGTGCTTTGAAGGATTCCTTCCAGTTGTCATTTGAGTGAATATGAAGTGATATTAAGCAAAATCTTCAATTTTCATTTTGGTACCTCATTTCTTGCTTCTGTTTCATGTCAACATTAGTGGTTCTCCCATTACACATACTTATCTTAACTTGGTTAAAATGGTTGGTTAAAATGCTAACGTAGTTAACTTGGCTGGATATGTTACTGATGTAATAGAGACTCCTTCCTTTCGTTCAAGTGAGCTTAACTTGCAAACTTTTACTTTAGACTGATCTCTATCAGGAAATCTGTCTTAAGTTATCTTGAAATCACCTGAACCGATAATGGTGCTGGTAGGCATTCCAGGAACCGTACGTTACATGCAACGTCTAACATTACAATTTCTGAGCAAAGAAATTAAATAAAAAAATTTATACTCAGGAGTTCTGTGGAGAATTTGTTGCTTCTCATAAATATTATTTGAAGCAAGATAAGATGACCATTAAGAGATATTAAAATCAATGGAATCAGGAAAAAAAAACACTTTAAAAATGACAGAAAAAGGTTAACAAATGACTTAATAGTCAAAATCTACAAAAAATGCAAAAAAGTCATAAAAATGGGTCATTTCCTTTTGTCATAACATAAAATTAATGGCTACACTCAAAAGCATTGTTCTAAAGTGAAAAGAAAAAATATGACATTTCATTAAAATTTGCCCATTCTGGGGCTGCTACCTTCACCTCCGAAGATACTGATTTGATTATGACCTTTGGTTGTTGATATGTCTCCAAGCTGCGTGGTGGTGGAATTTGTGGCACTGAGGTGATAAATTTTCTTCCAGGTGGGAGTTCATTTCTGGGAGGTATTTTCTACGTTCACTGTAACTGAGGTTCAGAGGTCACTATAACCGAGTCGCCTTGTATATATTTATAACTAGCAGAGCCCGGCAGATGTTGTCCTGCTCTCCATTTCCCCTCACCTCCTTCCACCTCACCTTCTCTCTCCATCACTCTCCATCTCTGTTTGTCTGTCTGTTTCTCTCTGTCTTTCTCTGTTTCTGCCTGTCTGTTTCTCTTTTTGCAACTGCCTCTTGTCGGTCTTTCTATCTCTCTCTGTGTCTATGTCTGTCTCTTTCTATTTTGTCTCTCTCCCCCTCTCTCTCATGCTGCCTGTCCTGTTCTCCTCAGCCCCCACCCTGCGTCACATGACAATGCCCAGAAACAGAGAAGTCCAGGTGGAGCTAAGTTTGAATGGAAATTGAATTAAAATTAAGTGCAATCTTGTGCTGTATTGCCATTTAGTAGAACAAAATTAACAGCACAAAAACCTTTGCATGATAAAACACGTAGATGTGCCATTTTTCCTGGAGATCGCACACACGGTTCTACCGCAGCGCTGCTGGCCTCTGGGGGATTATTTTAGGAACCTGTCTCTCAGCGACAGGTGAAAAATGATGTTCGTGGTGCATCTACCAGCATATTAGATAAATTATTTATTTTCCACTTTGTGTTGTGTTAATATTTACCATACTTTACAAGGACACTGCACCAGATCCTGAATAAGAGTCTGTAAATATTTAATATCTATTCATAAACTCCTTTTTGTGGAATCGATGTTGATTACATGGCGTTGAATTCACTTTTATTAGTATAGATATAGGAGAAATGGGACCAGTGATGTAAGTTCACTATATTCGAGTTCACTATAACTGGAGTCAACTGTACAAGTCTTTGCCTTGGTGAGCGTGACTGAGATAATTGCACTACAGATGAGAGGGCTTTGTGGTCAAATGACATGGCAGTAGCTGGTTGTTCGAATGCATCAGGGTTTCATAATGGTGTACAGGATATTGGGCCGGTTCATTCAAGCATTATTTTGTTGCATTGTTGCTACATTATTTTATCATGCTGAATGCAATGCCCTGCACTGCGCATATATCATCTTAAAATGGTGCATGTAATATATGGGGTATTGAGAATAATTGAAGAAACCCTTTAGGAGAGAAAAGCTATCCTATTGATAGACTTCACTAACCTATCCCTCTAAAATGGAAGGGAATAAGTCTTGACATCGCAAATGTTGTAGGTTGGTAGAAATTGTTAGTTGATGGATAGTTCCGTACTCGCTTGTGTCGACATGAAAGTTCCAGGCACATATTAATGTCAAACTAAGCAATAGCGTGAAATTAAATACATGTGTAAAAGGTTTAACAGAGGTTCTTGTCTGGCAGGTCTGGTTTTCAAAATCCACATGAGATTGATGCTAATCCTATGGTCAGATACATAAGTACATAAGCAGTTTTGATAACTCTGTCACACCCTTTTCAGGAGTGATTTCCACAAGTAAAACATTTGGATGTGAACCGCAAAAATAGGCAAAGAATGTATTTTAAACTTGAGGATGATGTAGAAAAAAAACACAAAAATCCTCAAAATACAACTCTGAAGGCTCTTTTTTCTTTGCATTGAACTAATTTGTTCGTAAGAAACATATTTCATGAAGATGTTCTTGCTTATTACTCTTTCAACAAGCAAAACAATACATTTTTACTCAGTTTGAGGTATTCTTCAAGATAGACATCCAAGTGTTGTGTGATAGCATGCTCTCGGAAGGGTTTAATTATACTATTCTTCTCAACAGTCATGAGTGCTGCTGTCTTCACAACTTGTTCATCAAAGTAGTAAAATGCTTGAAGCCAGTGTTTTCATTATACAGCATTGTAGGCTTTCACGGCCGGAGTCAATATTCTTCATGTCTTCCGGGCTGATGGGCCGTATCAAAAATGTAACTACACACCTATCGACAAACAAGAAAAGAGAAATACCATAATGCACATACCTAGCAGTACTGTCGCCTTTTCATGAAGCTTAATTCATCACTATAGCATAACTGCTCATTGTACCCACAATTAACTACGAAGTTTCCAAGACATACTACCCCATACCATAAATTAGAGAATATAAACGTTGAACTGCTGTTTGGGGAAAAATTCACATTTTCTTTGTGCTTTTGATACTGGACAGATATAATACCAAAAAAAATGTTTACAATTATTTATATCAAAATTAAAAATCTAACTTCAGTTATGCAGATAATTAATTAATCTGTAGCCAACAAAATCTGTCAGTATCAAATATAAATATATACAAAATATTACAAACGGTAAGAGGAAACATTAATGAAACATGTAACATTAATTATACATTCAGTACTGTCGTTTATACAAAACATTTCAAAACTCTCCCTCCCAAAGTTTGTATTTAGTTTATCCTAAGTCGGTAGGCAGATAGGATAGAAAATCCTATTAAGCTCCTACAATGCTTCAAACTTACCAGAATCCTTCTCTTGTTTCTTGCTTCATTAGTCTCGAAATGTTTTCTGCTCCTCATCTCATCATATCATTCTCAGCAAACACAATAATTTCAAGGCTGAATGCAAGAGTGGCAATAGGGGAAGCTGAGAAAAGCGGACCTGAACATAAAACACATTGAAAAACCATAAA